TTAATCTACCTGGTTTTCCTTGGAGCCTAGACATATTATGAATGCTCTGCACTTAAAAGTAAGAATCCTTAGCTTTTAAAGGGAGAAGTTAACACTCAGACCCACTAGCTAAAAGGTTTAGTCTCCTTAACCTGCCACAAATATCTCATTAGTCATTTTTTCCATATTGCTCTGGTTAACCATTTATTGGTTGTGGACTAGAGGGCTTCCTCAGGGTCTGGGTTCTGAAGATTGCTAAAAGAGGATTGCTAGTTGTGGGAATGAGCCAATGGCCAAGATGCTCAGATGTGCTGTGAACCTTCACTGTAAACTTTAGCAGAAGGACAGATGCGTAATCACCTTGTTGAATATACCATCGAAATAGCCAAGTGCTGTTGAACTGTTTGGCTTTCAGCTCCTGCAGGCAATTCGAGCTGCTTTTGAGCCTTTGTCGTGGAAAGGAAGGGCCTCTGTGTTCTTCCAGAATGTTTGGCTGTGTTGCAAACCTGATTACTGATGCCTGGGCATACTTTGATTGATGCACAGATCAAATGACTGTTGGGAGTGGCTTTTGAGGTGACGTCCCACGTACAGTGATGTCAGCAAAGGATTTTAAAAAATTCAGGTGTGGCATAACCTGCCAATTAAACTGATTAGTGCTCTGGCTGAGTCCCGAGAAGGAACTCTAGCTCTAGAGCCCTGCTTATTGAAGTGTTTTATTTAGTGCCTTTGTCTCACCCTCTACTAGACTTTTACCTAGCACTGTCACTGCAGTGTGCTGTAAACAGAGGTGGGATACCATACCAAGATCTATGTGCTGATTTTCTTGTGATCTGGGGAAATCTACTACCAGCTCACAAATGTATCTGACTGCTCGGAAGCTGTGATGCTGGAAGAGGTCCTGCACCTCCCGTGGGATCAGGATGGAGTGCCTCGCTGCTCTGTTGGCAGAAGTGAAAGCTAGCCAGGAGGCGATGCAGGCTGGACAGAAGGAACTGAAGCACAACTTGGAAACATCTCAAAAAGAAATCAGAACGGTGCTAGCACTGCAGAGGAGCCAGCAACAAGTGAAAGAAGATCTCAAAGCAGAGATGAAGTTGAGTCACTTGGATATACGAACTGTGCTTGAGGAAATCCAGCGAGTAAGAGAAGAAATGGAAACTCGATTAACTGCTCAGGCTGATTTGGTCTTACTGATCAAAGAAGTGAGCACGAATTTAACATGTGTAGACAAAGCTTTCCAGAAAATGGAAGAGAGGCAGAAAGTTTTTACCAGCCTGCATCTTCCTACAAGAGAAAATGTTGAGCAAGGATTTTTCTTTGAAAAAGGCTTACACAAGACACACATGTGTTTTGAGAAACCTATGGAAGCTAACAGTTTGGATGAGGAATGTGAGAAGAAGGTGCTTAGTGGTAAGACAATGGTGGCTGCAAAAGTGTGGGGAGAAGTGAAGTTGTTCCTACTTGTGCTTGTCTAGTAGTTTGTTTAGGCTATTTGGAATCCTTTTTAAGATTTGTAATGGTTTTTTTAGAAATTGAATCTCTTGCCTAAAGAAAATAATTTTTGTCTACTGTAGACATTATTACACAGGCCTTCTTAGTACACAGTAAACAAAGGAAGGCTTCAATTTGGTTCTGCAAACCAAAAAGTGGATGGTAGATGCTTCATCTGGTAATCCAGCAACAGTGCACAAGATAGAGGAGGTCAGGAAACCAGTGATACCAGGCAAGCTCTGAGATTGCCCAGCACTTGACATTGTACTTGTCTAGGTGGCTATGCCTCAGCACTCAAACGTAATTTTATGGAACACACCCTAACACACAGCTGTGTATTTCTTACTTCTGAACACCTATCAACTAAAGAAGCTATCTATGGGAAACAGTTTGTATTATGGAAAAGCTTGGGATGGGTCTAATATTTTTCCTGAAGAAATGGAGTTAACTGCTCCCATCCATGTAGCAACTACAGAGGGAGTGGGAGGATTTTTGGACACTTTCCAAGGTCATGGGATATTATTTTTGCCAGTGAGATATTGAATCTTCTGTGAATGATTCAGTGATCAAAAGGCTTAGTCTTTGCAAAATCACTGCTAATTTTATATCTATTTATTTATTTACCAGTATGAAGAAGGCTAGGACCTTGAATGGTGATTCTGTCTGGTTACTGTGCTACACATGGTACTTGAGAATTTGATTTCTAGTCTTCAGAAATTGAGCACTTCAACTAGAGTGGGTACATTATTTTCAAGCCTGTTGGAGAAGAGTCCAAACAGTAACTTAAGGATGGAGTATTCTGCCTTACAAGTCTGACTGTATAAAGGTGGCAAGTAAAAATGCCAAAGTGAGGAGGACCTGGGCGGGTAACCAATACTATCTTTAATTTAGAGTCCGTTGCTGATGCGTCGTATCAGTAATTAAATTCATGATGCTTTTGTTTTAATGAAAGCATGACTTTTGTTTTGACATTACAGCATGCCTTCTGTACAAATCTGGAAACAATCTGTCATTGCCCAGAGGTACGTAGGCCAGAAATAAGCGCTGGAGTGTCGCTGGTGCTAATCTGTAGAGGCAGCTCACGCTACAGAGGGCTCATGCTCGCAGAGAAATGCGTTTCAGCGTTTGAAGTGGCTGTGCATGCCACATATCTATGATAAACTTGCCAACAGGAATGTCACTGAATTTCTCTAGTGGATGGTTTTTGTTCAGCTTTTTTTAGTATATTATCCAGGGTTGGCTTGGATGGATGTTTAAATGAGGTTCTAGGAAAAGACTTAGTCATCTGGACATCACGATAAAAGCAGCGGTGTGAAACTGGCAAACTGATAAAGGCTGACTGAACTCTGAAAACTGGGTATCTGGAGTCTTGTGTCATTTGTGGTTAGCTGTTGTACTGCTGTTATTTAAATGAAATAACTTCATTAGGTAACAGTATGTGATGTAACTTTTTGTCCAAATAAAAATTGTCTGCAAACATTTGTTCAGGTTTAAGGCAGCTCTGTCAGGGTCCTACAAATGAATATAAAAGTAATTTCATATGGTTAATTAACGATGACATTAGCATTTGTATCAGTGAATTTACCCAGTACCCTTAAATCAAGAATAGTTCTTTAAGTGGAGCATTCAGAAAGGGAGCTGAAATATATGAGAGAGTGGGAGTATGTGAGCCAGCAGGGCAGGGAAGGACTGACTGTACATGTTTATTCTCTAGTCTCTGGTCTCTTTTTCCCCCTCTCTACTTGATTATTGTTTCTAGTGATTTTTGAAGGAGCTTTAGAAGGTAATCAGTATTTTCCTAAACACAATATGCTCTATAAGTCTTATGGAAATCTGATATAATTTTTCTCATTCATTTAAAGAGGTCTAGTCAAAGGACATTTTATGTCTGTGTTGTGAGAAAAAAAGTGTTCACATTACTTAAAATGGTGGTAAAAATAAGCTAACTAGAACTAGCAGCCAAGCTTGGTATTTGTTTTCCATACAGCTTTCTGTTTGATTTGGGTTATCACACTGATACCCCTTTTAACAGCTCCACTATTAAACTGCAAGATAGTGTGTTTCTAATTGAAAATACTCCCTTTAACAGTCAGCATCTCTGAGCAGAAACGTAGTGAAATCTACAAGAACACAAGAGCATCTGAACGTGATAAAGCAATGTGCTGACAATTCTCTAACTGTGAGGGGTGACAGAAAAACTACATAGAGAGGATTTATTTGGAAAATTAATAGGCTCAGGAGGAATTATATACCTGCCTAAGCACAGAGGGGCCTTGCTATTTTGAACAGGAAACTTGGTTTCAAGTGCTTTGAAAACAAGTGAAGGCTGTGCAAGATTGATGTATTAATGCAACAGTTGACGTATCAGACTAACGTGAACTGAGATTCAAAGCTTTTGTTATTAATACCATCTCCAGTTACATGATTGAACCTTGCACCACTGGGAGTAAGTTACCTGTCAACCTTCAAACCTGCTTGGGCTTCAGAAAGCATTTATGAGCAACTACTACTAGTTGGTTAGTTTGCCCCCCATTTTTTCTGCATATTTCTATTTTCTTTTTCTCCTAATCTCACCTCTCAGGTTTTTTTCACTTTATCTTGAAGAAATCTTGTTAAGTTGAAACTGTACAGAGTAATCTGCTTAGATGTCTTCATTAAGTTGCCAAGGGATATTTATGTATTGCATCAGCCTTTTATTGCAAAAGTGTTTGCTCATTCCCCATGGGATCAAATGGGGAAGACTGGCCCTATCTGCACGGCAGTACTGTGCTCCCTTTCCAGTCGGAAGGCAGCAGAAAAACCTATAACCTCCGTAGTGTTTACGAGGCAAGCGCTGGATTATGTAATGTGGTTTCCTCTGGCATGACATGATTGTGTACTGTGAAGAGATTGAGGTTGCAACATCATTTAGGAATATTAAATCAACAGTGTAATTCTTGGACCGTGAATAGTGGCAAGGCAAACTTGAAATGTGTTATGTTTTGGAGCATTTTAAAAGTCACATCCTTGTGACTGAAATTGCTGACATTAAGAAATGCTGCAAGACCTCCAGTTAATAAAGCTTAAACCTGAGATGAAGAGAGGAAAGTTCCCAATGAAAACTTTTTGAAGAAATAAATTAGGGAAAATGGTTTTGTACTCAGCAATACTTTAGAGTGCAGAAAGTATGAAATCCATGTTGCAAACACAAGTGGTCAGCTCGTATATTAGAACTAAGTTATGGGATAGGTAGAATGACAGAGTTTGGCATTTTATGAAAATGTTTATTCAGAGCACAGTGTGAAGAGTATGCTGAAAAGTATGCCACGGAATACAGGAAGGTGAGGTTGACGTGCAAATGGTCGTACACACCGGTATGGTGCAAGAAATTAACTTGGCGGTGCTACTGAAATAACCCTTTCTCCTAGTTAGTATTTCAGGAAGTTTTTATAAGAATTTACAGCTAATTTCTTGTGCACCTGTCTTTTTAAGTTTTGGCAAGACTTCAACATAAAGTGCATATTAATTAGTTATTGTTGTTATTTCAGTCGACAAGGGCAAGCAGCGGAGTCCCAAGAGCTCATGCATACAGACTCAAGCCTCCACGGATGTGCGTTCATCTGGCACGAAAACAGCCGAGTTGACACAGTACAAAACAAAATGTGAGACCCAGAGTGGAATCATCCTACAGCTGAAAAAATTTCTGACAAGCAGTAACCAGAAGTTTGAAGCATTAACAGTTGTGATCCAGCACCTGCAGTCTGAGGTAAAAAAAATCACAGCTAATCAGTTTTGTCTTTGATTGTGTATATATTTTTTTTAACTCTTCTCAACGAGGGCTTCTGAAAATATTAATGTACCAATACATAACATCAGTGTTTCCATTCCAGTGATTTCTGGTTTTGTGTGGAGGTAGCAGTAAACCTGCTCCTGGCATCAGCTGGATAGAAAAAAATGAAACCCCTGTCACTGGGCCTCTTTGCAGCTTCACGTCCTTTTTATAAGAGAAGTTTTTAAATGTTTGTAGTTAAAGCCTCCTTTGGGGTAGAGTACCCTTCCAGGTATATACTTCAAGTTCTGCCCTTGTAGGAAGGACTAGTTTCAACAGATAATCTACATGACCTTGCTCTGTTATCTGACATTAGGTAGAAGAATATACAAGGAGTAGGTATGTTTTTGAGCTCTTCGGAATCAAGTGTGAGTTACAGTGGTTTTATTTATCGAATCCTGCATTATTGGTGATGTCTTAAAATTAGCAACACTTCATTTAGAAAAAAAAACTTAGAAATGTACCTGGAATTTAGAGTGGAATTAATCTGACGTGGTTTAATGTGTATTTGTTCTAGTCGATTTGACATACATGATGACCTAAGCAGTTTTATATTACACTAGAAAATAGTGGTCTGCTTTGAAAACTTCTGAGAGAAGAAAAATCTGAAGTTAAGGAAATTATAACAGTTAGGGATCTACACTGCAGCAATTGATGTAGGCTTTAATAGCAGTTTCTCTTGTGTTTATGATCCAAGATTGGTATCAATTTCTTTTCAGCTATTCCAATATATGGTCATTTTTATAGTCTGATATATAAGAAAGCACTGACTTGATTTAGTATGCTGCCAGAAATGTAACATTCTCTTCTTGCTGGATAATATCTGCTCACTCTCATTTCATCTATAAGTACTACATTTAAGTCCAAGTCTGGTTCAGCTGGGCAATAGCAGTGTCTTTCAGCCAGTTTTGTGTGTTTAGCTTGGGTTTTTTTAAACTCTTGATTAGAATGCCTTTCTCTGCTACCAAACTAGTTCTAAGATCCTCAAAGCAACTTGATACAGGATTTTTGGATGCCTGTCATCTAATACGAAATTGTGAAATTTATATGTGAAATTCTCACTTCTAAACTTCTGTGCAATCTTCTAATTGCTGTATAATAAGCACCTTTTGTGTACCTTTGATAATTAAATGTCTTGGCATAGATTATTCTCTCAAATATTTTGTATTGCAGCTTTTAAAATTTCAGGAATACTTTGACAAGCTTCTCATTAAATATGACACTGACAGACACATTTGCTTCTTCCAGGCTATTTTACAGGTGACTTAGTCTAAACAGTATTTATTTATTTATTTGAGTTAAATGGTTATTTACAAAAATAAGTTTAAAAGAAGTGGTGTTGAAGATGAAAGGGAGAGAGAACTGCATGGAGGAAACTAGTAATTTTCCTTCTTTTTCCTCCTTCGTAGACAGAAAGAGAAAAGAAATTTTCTTTTGGTCAAATTGTATAAAATTCGTAATTGCAGGGAGTTAAGTCTAAGCACTTGAAAATGGGATAAATGGCATAATGCTGTACTTTCATGCCAGTTAATGGTATTGAGGTTGTTCTCTCCTTTCCCAGGATAAGACAGTGCTTGCTCAAGAGTCACGTCTTACTTGTGTGTACTCACCATAGAGGTGAGAAGGACCCTTCTGCTGTAAGGAATACTCAGAATCTGGTAGTTCGCCAGGGGAAAGGTCCTGTAGGATTTCTGTGGTTTAGGTAATGGTGTGAACAGTTACTTTAGTTTTTCTGTTTTGTTTGGATTTTGTTCCCTGACTTGAGGTATTTTTTTGTTTTGTTTATTGTTTGGGTTGGATTTTTTTTTTGTTTTTTGGGGGGTTGGGGTTTTTTTTTTCTTTTTTTTGGTTGGTTATTTTTCCTTTCTGGTGAGGCATGGAGTCTGTTATAGCTAACTTAATCTCAACTGGCCAAATGCCTGCAGGTTTTTTTCTGAGGTATGTCTTGGGGACTCCTTCAATGTAGTTTTCAAAATATTTGTGTAGACTTGGGGAGAAACTTGGAATTAGGGTTTAAACTGTAAAGCAGGGGCTCATAACTATTGCAAAGCCAGCTGAAAGTAGCTTCAGCTTTTCTGATTTAAAAAGAATAAAATAAATAATGCTTGGCTGATTACTTTAACAGCAAAGCTGTGTTTCCTTTGCTCCAGGCAGAGCATGTGTGAAGTGACACGGTGCAGTGGCATAAGCTGATGAAACAGCTCATTGTAACCAGAGGAGCGTCCTGCTCTAGGCTCCTCTGGTGCTGGTCTGTCCTTTCGGAAGGCTGATTGAATTTGCAACTACCAGAAATCTAACCCAGCCAAAGAGAGAGAATTTCTTTGCCAGGTTAGCAGGATGGACTGTCGTAATGTGTGATCAGAGCTGGTGCGATGGTGAGACAGGATCGAGGATGGGCTACCATGCAGCCCAGCCCCAGCCTCTTGGCAAAACCTGCCCTAGCCTCTCCCACTTTCCCTGCAAAGCTGAAGTTACTGGGAGGTGATTCAGCTGTTGGCTTTGTTTGGATTTGCTTTCCTTCTCATTTTCCAAGAGGTCACGATGCATTTCTGCACAAAAGTTTAAAGTTGCTTCTTGTGAGCTCGTTTGAAACAGAATGTAGCTGTGAATGAAATCAGGACTTGCTGGCAATGACTTCTGTCAAAAACACAGCCAGCCCATCTGGCATGAAGTGGAGAGGCTGCTGTTGAAGGGTTAAATGAGATTGAGCAATGCTGCTGTGTTCTAGCCCAACAGGAATCTCCCAAAACTCTGCCTGAGCTCAAACTTCTTTGTTCCAAGTTATCTTGGAGCTGTCAATATTAACGGCTGGCTCTGATAATACTTTCACATGCAAGCCATCAGAGTTTGCCCAGGGAATTTCTGTGCTTAACTACCTTTACCAAGATTCTTCTGAATTTAAAAATCCTAAAACCCCATTTTCTACCTTGCAGGAGCTACTATTGCACTGGGTTAATACCAGATAGGAACCCTCTTGGCATCCAGAACACTGGATGGCAATGAGCAGGGTGGCTGGAGAGAACACCACACGATAGGGAGGTTTTTTTTGTTGTTAGACAGCTGTATGTGCCCTACTGGAGTTAGAAACATATCCATCTGTGGGCTAATCACAAAAGCAAGCTTAGTCTTTCTAGATTACTGCACTCCCTCTGATCCACTAGTAATTCGTGGGAGTTCATAGCTAATTTCCTGGTTTTTAAGTTCAAATGAAAAAGGAAAAGTGTCAGCATAGAGGAAATGGTGAAATCAGCCATTTACAATAAGTGCATGAAGTGCCAAGGAAAGCTGTCTTCCGTTCAACTACATTTAGCTCTGGAATTTGTTTTTGAGTTAATAGCAAGAAAAGGTAAAAGATTAATTTTGCATACAATTTTGAGTTCATTTCTTTTCCCTTCAGTAATAGGTGCAGTCACAGAGGCTTTAAATACATGGTTTAGCTTGTCTATGGTAAGTCAGGCCGTGGCTGCCACTCCTTCAGCCCTTCCCTCTCTTCCCTTGCCCTCATGTTGTGCAAGCTGGTGCTCACCTGGCCTTGAGGAGCCAGTTCAAGCATCCAGTCAGAACGAAATAAAATTTATTACGAGTCTAGTTTCATAGGTCTGTCCATACCCAGTGTTTATGGGTATGTCCCTGCACAGTGGCTTGCTGTGGTGTGGAGTGGAAGGGAAGAACCACGAGTGCTGGGGTGGGAACATGTACACAAGAGGTCTGCAGCTGTGGGTGGGAGCCAGATGCTCCCTTGGGAAGGAAAATTCCAGATTGATTGTTTTTCTGATGTTCTGCAAAAGTACATCACTAGCTGATGAGACTGAGGTCATGGAAACTCCTCACAAGCCTCTATTTCTCGTCTCCAGGGGGATGCTCAGCCCCTTTCCCTGCCTCGGGGCTGCTTCCTGCAAGGCTGCTGGGGAATTTGAAGCTTTAACTCACTGCCATGTATAAATACCTATATGTTTGGGGGGTGAAGGGTGTTTGTTTTAGCAGCACAGTATTAGCCTGGTTTAAATCTGATTTTGGTTTATCTTTTGAGCAAAAACGTATTGTTAGCGTGACTTGAACAGCTTTGTTACTGCTCGAAGTGTGAGTTGACATATAATATCTCTTAACACTTGAATTTTAATGCAAAATTACCACATATAGAACTACTCAGGTCATTTAAAAGAAAACCCTATAGGTGGTAAAATGTTTACTTATTATGAACACCCATTTCTGTTCTTCTACTTTAATAAATGAATCTAAGCATTTCAAGAGCTGTCAGCACATTCTGATGTAGAGGCAAGCTACAAATTTGGTCTTTGTGACAGAGATGAACAGAAACTATATTTCACTGTTGTATCTTTCCTGGTTGTGGAAAGACTGGTACTTACAGTTCAAACTTTACTTGGGAATGACTGTTGTGACATCTTCCAGAAGTTTACTTCATCGAGGGAGATGCCATTTGAGAGACTATAGAGCCTTGACAATAATAAGGGTCTACTGCTAACTGTGGATGTGACACAGGAAGCAGCATAAGTAATGTGCTAGAAATTGTGTGACTAAAACAGACTTCAGTATTTCTAGGTGGAAATAGAAATTAACCATTAGTATATGAGCTACTATAACTGGCATTTCCTGGGATGTGGATGACTCTAAGAGTTGAGATACTATTTTTTTTGTATTTTTTTTGAGAACTACTTAGCACTTTAGAGAGGGGTTTGCCCATGTTCGAAAATATATGGACACACGCTTCTAGAAAAAATTTGTCCTGGCCTTTGTGGAATCAGCAGAAAATGTTTATATTTATCGGATGAGAAATGCATTTCTAGCTTAAGGACCAGAAGTATGCATTGCATCACTAAACTCACTTGTAGTAAAAGGAAGAATTTGGGAACAGTCATATTTTTGGCCTGTAAATCCAAAATGTGTTGGCAAGCCTGTTGTTTACAGCAGCTGTCCTG